CAACAGTAAATACAGGATGTTTTCAAACGTGGGGATCAGGAAGAGTTGACACACCTTTCGGACGTTCTCATCCACAAGTCCACCAATCACGTAAATAGTGTCTAGTTCAATATCCAAAAGGGGTGAGTGGGCATCGGGTGAAAGGTAGACCAGCTTAGAGGCGGGGAACGCAATGGCCGGTGATACTGCGTGAAATCCAATCTACAAATTTCGAGTTGATTTAAACGCCGAGGTTGCAAAAGAAAATCGGAATATAGTAGAGAGAATAGGACCGAGCACGGCTGACAACTCCGGTCAAAGACGAGACCAGCACATAAACACTAGAACAATCGTGCGAAACTAACCAATAAGCAGCAGGCTAAGGCAGCAACCACTGCAGGCAACAGTGGACTGGCGTCCATCTGCTCATTGGACGGGATAGAAGCGATTCCGTTTCACCAAGGAGCCCCGGGTACAGCTTTGGAGGATAGTTGCAAGGTGGCGAGCAACCAAAAAGAAAAAGCATTCGCTTGCAGCATAGCTAGCTGATGACAAACAAGCCAAAATGACTAGTTCGTTTTCCCCTGTCTTTGCTGGTAATACAGTCGATGCGCTACCGCGTGAAAGTTGACTTGTTGCGTTATAATAGTAATTATTTTGTAGTATATTTCACCGATATTTCAGTCAAGTCAGGATGTCGGCTTTTGAAAGAGATTATTTACGGCCGCCCGCGAAAACTTCACACTGTAAAAAATGACTATCAAACTAACAGGCAGCCTTTATGACTTAAATGGATGCTATGAGAAAACATGCACAAAGATAAGTTTGCTTATATTGAAGACCACGAGATGCCCATTCACGAAACATCATATCTGTCCAGTTATTACGACAGCCTACAACGTAGCCCACATCAATTGCACAATTTTATGAGCATTAAGTGACATCTTACTAATAGAAACATGTTGACTTTTCCTTACACGGAATGTAGTTTGCAAAATCGCAAAGCAGCCGTAACGGTGGACGGGGTTCGAAATAAGTCGGATATTGACAATTGTCAATTTAGTGCTAATATCAAAAGATATACCCTTGTGAAACATAAAAGTTAAAGAAAACGCAATTTTTTTACCAAATGAGTGTTATAAAGAATGTTTTTGTGTGTCTTTTATAAATTATTTTTGAATTTATAACGGCAGCGAAAAATATTTTAAGGATTCTTACTACTTAAATAGCTTTTTTTACATCCAACCAGAAAGAAATTCCTTAAAAAGCCGCTATCGTAACGTGGCTGTAATATATTGGGAGTATGTTGCATACTAAATAATATTACAACCCTGTATGTAATCTATACGAAGCGCAGGCGCATTCCAGAATTTCGACTTACCTTTTCTAAAATATCAAATCTACTGTATTTCCAGTAATATTGCTCAAGTGCGCGTCACTATAGGCAGATAAGGAAGGTTGGTAAACAGACTCACCGGCGTACAGAGCTCTGTGCAGGCACCCACACACTTGATTGGCTTGCACTCCTATAACTGTCACCTTTGTGTTGCCGCTAATATCTCTGACGATGAACTTCTATCAGAGTTAGAAAGCTCAGAATAATAAACAAAAGTGTTCAGGTGATCGATCGGTCTTCGTCTTTACTCATGCAAACGCCTGAAACGCGAACCCTCGTATTCATTCGTAAACTCTTAAGTTAAGACCCACGGGCGTACCTAATTAAGACTTCTAAAGGGTCCTCTTTTCACACTTGATTCGGCCACTACGTGTTGGCACTATATGTTGGAGAGAAGTTAACGCGTGCAGAATTGTATCCACAGGTGTCTACTGTGGCGTGATGTACGTTTTTTTCTGAAGAGGGCAAAACACAAGGCGCTCGTACACATACACTGTACAAAGATCTTACCTTGTAGTTTTCAAATCCCGAGCACTTCTCTCGGCAACAGGCACCAAGAGCACTGTTCATAGAAAAGTTGGTTAGATGCAGACTGAAGGGCTCAGGAGAGCTCTTATTAGCGCCATAGGCACGACAAAACTGTTGAGCGAACTTGCTGCGTTCCTAGCAAAGTGTACGGCTGTATGTAAGCAAAGAGACCGGGAGCTACTTTAGGAGACATCGACGACTCAAAGGAGCAGTCTATGCATATTTTTGGCGCGTTCATCAGGTTTTCAATCATTCTTTCACGAGACTGGCGAACAAGTGTTTTCTTGGGAATGTAGTTTCCAGCTTTAACGGACTCTCGTGTGACGAACGCATCGCGTTCGCGTCTACGCCGCTTTTCATTCTTCCGTTTTAGACGCCGAACCGCCAATCGCTTT